ATTAATAATGAACATTTAAAAAAGGAGGGGATCTGGCAAGCTCTGAAAAGACCTGTAAAGGGACGAGGCCCAAGTGAGCGTGCTGCGAGCACAGGCGATGCCCCAAGAGAAGGCTCCAGAAGCCAGCCACGGGCAGGGGCCCGCCGTCACTCTCCTTGGCTGACCGATCTCTCAAGCACTCCTGAAACCGGGGTGAGAGAAGGCTCTAGAAACCTCGGACCGGGGCCAATAAATAGGGGCGCACACGAGCCTCCTCGGGGCGCTCTCCACACCGACACCCCCCCGTTGGCAGGTCTGACGCTGGATCCAGGATTGGTGATCTCTCGATCTCTCTCCCCCCCCCAAGCTCCTTCTCTCTCTCTCTCAGCCCCCCCTTCCTCGCTCTTTGCCCTTGATGCTGCTAAGTGACACAAGGCCTACCTCAACTTCTCATAAAGCCGCTTACGTGACGTATTGATACGCAGAGGGTCGATGCTTATAGAGCGTTCGTTCCATTACAGCTGATGTTCGTGTACGGACCTTGAGCGTTATCTCACCTTAATCCACACCGAGGGGATTTGCGGACCTTCGTCACGCTCCCCTTCTCGTAGGTGGGACGTGACAAGACCGAGAGGCGAGGGGACAGGGCACCTGACTGGACTCAAGCAATACAGCAGAGAGGCGATAGAGGAAAATTTACATTACTGCTTACAGCCACGTGCAGCTTAACGGAGGGACCCATCGGTCAGCTGCTCTGCACCCTTCCCATGCAATTTACGGCGACAGAGAGCCGATGCCCGGGCTGTGGGTGCGCTGTGCGTAGGTGTCCGGAGCACACCCCGGCGCAGCCCACGGAGGAGCTGGAGTTGTCATGCTCGTCTTTGGCTAAAGAAACAATTTTTGGTTTGTGTCCCCGTTACAAACGCAGGATTTCTGATACGTGCAACGCTTTTTCCTCCATCAAGTGGCTGTGAAGCTTTGTCTGTCCTCGGCACAGAGCACAGCACCAACACGGATGAAAAATACCCTGCCTGAGCTGAGAGAAGAAAAACTCCCACCCCAGACCCGCCGGTGTAAATCTGGAAAGCTCAGCTGTGCTCGCTGGACTACCTCAGGATTTACCAAGGCATTCACGAAAGCTGAATTTGGCCCAAAACTCAGGAAAGAAGGGTGCATTCAGCATTTGCTTCTCCGAAAGAATCAAGCTTGCCAACTTCTCCTTAATACGAGAGGCCAAGCCTGCGGCGTCACTACTGACTCCAGCGGCCGCGTGCCAAGGCCGGGGTTGCCTGGGTGCCTGCCTGCACCGCGGCAGGGTGCCAGGCGCGGGGGGAGCACCCCCTGCCTTTGTGCCCGTATCCAGGCATCGGGGTGTGTTCCCAGCTCCTCCCCGGCAACTCATCCCTCAGAAATACCACCGTGCTAGCTTCAGAGGAGACAAAAGACACCATTTCTGTAGCCAGGGGCTAAAACAACAAAAGCAACAGCAACCGCCTCTGCAGGTTGGGTTAAGGCGACTCCAGAGCAAGCTCCCCTGCTTTGCCCGACTCCCGCTGCCAGCGTCTCCCGCTCTCAGCACACACCCTGCTTCCACAAGAACAGATTTCCCCCCTCCGTCACCCAGACTGTGCAACCGGCCCAGGAGAAAAGCCTTTCCCTTCGGGCTGGGACTGTTCACCATCATCCCTTGTGGGCACAGCCACGGCAGCATCTCTGTTCCCTCCTGGGAACGGGGTCACCCAACAGCATGGCTTGCAGGAGTCCAGGGCCGTGCTCCTGCTCCCGGGTGCGACACCGCCTGACAGACAGTCCGGCACAATGCAGGACACCCACCACCCTCAAAAAGTGCACATCTCAAAACTAAAATCTTGGTTAGCGGGTGCCAACCCATGCTGACCACCTTGGCTGCTGTCCGTCAAAGTGTCCATCAGAGGAATCAGCAGCTCGGTATTCACAGCACTGTTACCCCTGATGGTCACAGCTAGGTCAGAACCATTTCCACCAGACTAAATCATTTATATCAAGCATGACACATACAAATGGTTAAAAAAACCAAAACCCCACCTCATTTCCCTTCATTCAGGGTTGCAATGCCATCATACCTCTAAGCATAACTTTTCAAAACTCCCTTCTTCAGTTTTCCACCAAGACTCTTTTCCCCTGCGTGCTTTGCTGGGACCAGCGCGCGGGATGGGAGCTGGGGGGGAGAGAGAGAGAAGCCCCCGGCTCAGTCCGCTGCCAGCCTTGCCAACCCCGCACACCTCGCACGTCCGCCTGTTCCCAAGAGGCCGCTGGGTCTGGCTGCTTACCTGTGAGCTCCTCGCCTGTTGTTTGGGGCACAGAGCTTCAGCAGATCCCTGTCAACCTGCGCTCTCTCTCATTAGCCTTTTTTTAAAAACCTGAAAGAAATGGCACAGTGTGCAAGGAAGAAATGTAAAATAAAGGTTGCAGAGATACGAACAGTCTACGGAAAATGTGAATCTTTACCTTCCACTACTGAATCCATCCAGGGAGAAACTGTGCCCTCTGACCCAACAGCTGCCTGCGTAATACAGCATTTATGCTAGGTGTATCCCACACTTAAAATACATGGATTTTATATACTCGCTCTTACAAGCGATATTTTCAGAGCAGTCTTCCTTTGACTTGAAGTCCTTCTCTTCCGTGATCTGTTGCAGGCAGGTAGACCTTGCGCATCATTTGCTTCTCTTTTTTTTGTTTTAAATGATGGAGCATTTCCCCCATGCTAGATACTGACCTTCTACCTCTTAAGCACCCTCTTTCTCTTAGGTAAAAGGAGATTATGCTGAATAGTCACACTTAAATATCTTTGGCATGAGAGAATAGAGAGAAGGCCAGGAAATCTCTCTTTAAAACCGTTTCTCCCAGGAATCCCACTTCTGGCTTTACTCCTGGGTTCATGACTATCCCGTCCATGCCCACTGCCAGGGCTGGAACCCCGTGTTTATAGACCACTGCCCTACCCCGATCCCCCTCCTCTCTCCTTACCCCTCCCAGCCCGCCCTCGCACACACCGCAGCGAACCCAGAGAGCTAACCCGCCTGCAAGCTCTCCTCTTTGCTGCTTTCCTAGTTGACCAAACATTTCCTCCAGCTCTGAAAAGCACTGGCTAAGTTTCTAGCATGCTAGGTAAGATTAAATAATCACCCTCACAGATGTAAAATATCGCAGTATGATTTATTAAAAAGTCCAAAATTTTTACAGAGCTTATGAAGACATGGGGGGTGGGGTGGGTGGGTGTAAGTGTCCAGTGAAATAAGTGTCCTGTTCAGCTTTCTGCAGGTTTCGGTCCCTGAATTGAAGGGTACGTGAGCATCACTTCCAGGGCAACACCAGCTGCGAGGGCGCAGAGGCACGGAGCGGGGACAGCCCTATTCCCACCTGCAGCTCTTCCGACCAACTCGGCTGTGCCTTCAAACTTCCCCCCAAACGCTGGGCCTTCCCAAAGCCCGACCTAACATCCAGCAATGGCGTCGCTCTTTAGTCCCGCTGGGCTGCACAGCCCACCAGCAGCAGAGGGGTGGGTTTGGGCTTCCCTGGGTAACGAAGCTCTTGCAGCGCGGCATGGGCTGTGTTCAGCTGGCACACGTACGAGTGTTAAACACCCGTGAAATTGTGCAGGACCCCCTCGTGGGAAGGCTCTGCTGTTGCCCATCACCCTCTGCCTCTCCTTGGGCCGCAAGAAGCCATCGTCTGTCAAACTTGAGTTACGAACTAAGAAGAGGCAATGAGAAGGCACTCTCCAAACAAATTCACACTTCTGTGTAAAGCAGAATTCAGATATATTCAAGGAGAAAACACCTCTTCGTTGTGCTGTTTGGAAGGTAAGTATGATCAGATTTGGCTTTTCTTTTAATAATTTCATTCCTCCGTCATGCCCTTCCCATCTCTTTCCCTTTGAGATTTACTTAATCCTACTTGAGAAAAGAAAACTGCTGATCAAGATGGGAGTTATTTCAGCATCTGTTGCCGAAACATTACCTCATTTCTCCCGTCCTTTTTACTCTCCAGCATTCAGCTGTTCCCTCCAAGACTCTTAACTTCTCTTGTCTTCTGTTAATTAAAACCCAATTAGGATTGCCTGCTGATAACTGCAGACTGGTCTAACAAAGCCTGGGCTGTTGCTGGGTTTATTTTGTTAAGTGTCATATGAATAGGCAACAGCAGGTCTTGCTGGAGCATAAACATAGCTCAAACTATTCTCTGCGAGTGTTTGCTTTTTGCGTGTACTGTGCTAATTTGGGGAAAAGGTCTCTCTAGAAGTTGTTTTCTTCAAAAATATTTTAAAAGAACATTCTTGTGTTTCTCATCTTGCATAAAATTGACAACATTGATAGCTTTTAATTACCAGAGGAAGCAAGAAGGAACACAGAGGAAAATCGGCGTAGCCACTGTGACCTTGTTCCAATACGTCCCGGCAAGGGACGATGAGCCCCCATGGCTGGGGGCATCCAGCTGCTTGGGCAGCTTAGGCAAGCTGCACCTTCTAACCCCATCTGAAGATGGCACTGGCTATTTTTTAGCATCTTAGAACAGCTCTAGGAGTCATATGGCTTATTCCTATTCATTGCACAATAATCCTCCAATCTATTCTGCATTAAAAAAAAAAAAAACTTCTGTAAATACAGCGTTATTTTTCCTGCTTTGCCTGCAGCCTCCTTAGCATCGCTCCACGGCAAGTAAGCATCTACCTTGGTGAACCCGCTACTGAAATGCTGTCACAGCTACAGAGGTAAGCTGAGCATCAGCGGTCACAGCACGAGGAGGCACGATACCCACAAAAGTGCTCTGCTGTCGTCTGGAAGTGATGAGTCCATCTGGCACGTTTGTTTTCAGTCATATAAAGAATTCCTCCTCCTCGTCCTCCGCTCTGTTTGCAGGGCTGGCTCGTGGTGTTTGCGAGTGGAAGCCCGAAGCTCTTTGCCCTGCTCCTTTGTTCCTTTTGGCTGCAGCAAACAGCAGCTGGGTCCTGTCCTGGGAGGGCAAGGCGCTGCCGGCCCCATCCGTGGGTGCTCGTGGCTGGAGGAGGCTGCTCCACAGGTCCCTGGAGAAGCGGTTCAGCGGACAGCAGCCACTCGCAGGACTCGCCACGGCGAGCCCGGTGTCAACGTTGGTCTCCGCTGCCTGCCGACGAACGCGGCTTTCCTGGAGAGAAGCCTGCAGCTTGCTGCTCGCCTGCCTGCGGAGGGAGGTGGCATCCCACCACGACGGGGCTGCTGGAGCACTGTGAGAAGAGCAGAAGTGCCTATGGAGGTCACCGCCGGCTTGCTCAGGAGTAAGGGCTTCGCTTTGCTCAGATTTTGTTCTACCCTTCGTGGCTCCGACCTCCTGGCTTCTCTGCCCAGGATTACCCCGCTTTACAGGGAGAGGGGCTGGGACAGAGTCCTGCAGGATTTTTTCGTTGCCTGCATTATTATGCTGATGGGAAAGCCCAACATTTGTTTCACGGGGCTTTGAGCTGTCTTGAACCTGTTGAATAAAATTTGGAGAGAACCCCATTAACATATCGTTCTAGCTTTACTAGGTGATGCTCTCACCTAGCCTCGCTGTGCTGAAGTCACCTGCAGCGTGAGTCAGTCAGCCCCCAGAGAACAGCATAGGACTCTTCCAAGCCTGAGCGATGGCAGACGAAACAACGTAGATAATGTGATGCACACGGAGAAAAACAATCCCAGCTTCACACACAAAATGCTAGGTTGCGAGTTGACTGTAACCCCAGGGTCTCATTTCTGTGACAGACAGCACCGTGTTAGCGTCAGTTCAGTGCCTGACAGCAGTCTAGAAAGCAAATGAAATCTTAAGGATTATCCCAAACGGAACGGAGAATGTTGTTATGCACGGTGCAGCCCTGGTCCCCCAGCTGGACCATGGTGTTTGTCCCTCAACCGCAGCGCACAACAGAGTATCGCGGAGCTGGAAAGGCTCAGAAATGGACAATGAGGACAACTGCAAGTACAGTAAAGGAACAACCACCTATACTGGGAATCTTAAGCCTGGGGGGGAAGAAAAAAAAACCAAAACAACAAAAAACGTTTGGGAGGGAGAGGATAAAAGGCTATAAAACCATGAGCCACCTGGAGAAACAGACAGGTATTGTCCATTCCCTGCCATTTGCAACGCAAGAGGCAGAGGCCATCAAATGAAGCCAGGTGGATCCAATTTCAAATAAGAGAAGGTGGCAGTAGACCTGGGGAGGTCCCTGCCAAGGTGTCTTGTGGACACAAAAAGTTCACATGGATTCAAGGGGAGACTAGATAAACGCTTGGAAAGGAGAGTCACTGCAAGTTACCACAGCTGGCTTCAGAAGACCCTTGAGTTTAAAACAGGCAGCTCGGGAGCGTATCGGTGGGGTGTAACACATGCGCTTGTCCTCTTGCTGTTCCTCCCAGGGCAGCCGCCTGTGGCCAGCTGCTGGGCAGGATGAAGCCTTGGTCTGGTCCCCTGCAGACAGGCTGATGGTCTCAGGATTTTCTGCGGTCACCGCCAGCGCTCGGCTGAGCAGCTACGCTATGCTTGAGTGAAACAATCCCGTTGGCTCATCTGCCTCTTAATAAATTACAAAACTGAAATCACTGGTCACAAACCTTACTATTTTGAGAAAGAAACAAGCAAGTTACACTTGAATTTAGTTTCTCCCAATGCGTGCACAGCTTTCAGAGGGCTCTCAGGACTAGTGCACACACATGACAGATTTGCTGCAGGTGACCTAAGCACAGCACACACAAATAGCTGTGCCTGTCCCAAAGCCTTCTAGGAGGCATCAGATCTACTGGAGCTCCTTCACGTCTGCAAATCCTGACCAGCTGCTTTTAGAAAGAAACTTCTCCAGGAAGCTACAGATCAGGTGGCATTCCTCTGACGGCTGGACAACACATGGACCAACGCTTACCCAGGGAGGAGATACCCATCAGACCAGCAAGGCCAAAGGGACCAGGACCTGCTAAGCACGTCCCACTTGTTCCTGCGGAAGATGCCACCCCCGGGGACACCAGCCCAGAGCAAGGCACCCACCTCGCCAACCCTCTGCAAGACTAGAGACACGCTTCATGTCTGTCTTTATGAAACAGCACATGGAGATGGTCCTACGCTCCTACTTAAGACTCCTACTTGAGTCTTAAGGATAAACTTGTAAAATTTGAGCCGCAGGGATCTCCTGTAAACACTCAGAGAAAGGACATGGAATAGAACAGTAACTAGTGAGCAACTTCGGGGGGGAGGGGGGAAAGGAGAGGATGTGGTTTATTTACTGCTTTATCAAACTACGCAGGACCAACTTCAAAGCTATGTGAAGATGCTCAGGGCCTTGTCCAGTCCAAGTGGGTGGCAAACCAGTTTATAGAGTGATACTGAATGAGAAGTATGCAAAGGCTGCCCTGAGGATTAGCGTTCAGAGTAGCATAAAAATAGGCCATACAGAATAATTAAGCCGATTTGCTACAAATGAGCTCTGCAAGGAAAACAAAAAACCACAGGCTGGGCAAATTTAAATATCCAAATTACAACAAAAAATAATCAGAGGTGGGAGGGGCTGCTACAGTGAAAAGAAAGCACACTGAGCTAAGCTGCCCTCCTGCTCACACGTATCATCTCGGCACAGTCGTCTTTGTTGGGTTTTATTTATTTGTATTCGCACAACCTCTGGACTGCAGACTTGAACAGAAAACGCAGAGATTTCCTACGACACGTTTCTTCGGCACTTTTGCCCAACTGCAGCTCACAAAGGGCTCACAAAGTCTATTGCAGGTGATGTTGTATCAACACTACACTTACAATACATCTGGGTTTGGATGCTAAAAATCTGCTTTCAAAAACATTTATAACATAACGACTTACCAGAAAAAGAATAGGCTGCTACGATCATTTGATTCAGGCAGGGAAGGGAAGATGTTAAACTAGCCTGCTCAAAAAAAGCATTAATACTTTCAATTTCAGGCGAGCAGTAATGATGTGAATTTAACAATATAAAAATATTCCAAGGATCTGTGCTTGTATTTATCAACAGCATCACAGCACTGGCAGATACCGATTACTGCATTCACAAATTCAACAGAAAACATAAACAAGCAAAATCTTAATTTCCATTTTTAACCAGTCCTGCTTTCCTTGGGGAAAAAACAAAACAAAACAAAACAAAACCTCCTCTCAGAGTACCACAGACACATACCTGAAGCAGAATTGTATTTCCTTCGTAGTCTTGCGTTTGCCACCTGGTGCTACTGATAGGAATACATGGGTTAGGCAGGAGAGGCACCAGCTGCCCGATTTCTTGCACCTTGAACTGCAAGGCTGACGACTCCTTCGGCTCGGCAGCCACCCCGATGGGCAGCTGCTTCAAGCAGAGCTGCACGGCAGTAATTTGGGTTGCGTACAGCACAAAGACACAGAAGCTACTTTTCTGCATAGTTGCTTCTTTCTGTAGGATCATCTCGTAGAGTCTCACTGCATCCTCGTAGTTATCGAAACTGCAGTAGAGGGTGACACGCAGGATTTCGGGGCCACAGTGCACCCGCCTGATGCCCCACACAGGCAACTGGTCGTCCAGGCCATAGAAGTCCTGCTGAGCTGGGGCATAGAGGCGGCTGTGCCCGTTAGCAATCTGGACACACTGGTAGCGCCAGGGCGGACGCTGGAAGAGTTCATGGACCTGGAAAATCCGTTCTTCTCCCAAGTCCTCGTGTAGAAAAAGGAGAACGGATATTCCAGGAAAGCCGCAGCTTCTCTTACGATATCTCTCGTAGTAATTCAATGGAGTAACTCGCTCAGACACCAGGAAAAGTCGAACGTCTGGGCAGATCCACTCCAAAAGCCGATCCAGAGTTTGCTGCAGAAGCGATGAGCGTTCCGAATTGGCGAGAAGATGCAGAGTCATCAGAGAGTCTGCTCTGTCATCCATTGCAAACGTTCCTGACAAAAAATAAAAATAGACAAATTGGTGCCTTCCCTCTCCTTCTCCTACTGTTGGAGCCTCAGTAACATGAGGGGTGTACTGTAAGACTCAGGCAGAATGAGTTCAATCTTCTACAAGCTTTGCAATAGCCTGATGAAATATGCAGGTCTGCACAGTTAATGTACACGAGGCAGGCGAAGAGGGACAAGGCATTATGTGACCGGTCCCAGGTCACTCACATCACAGCAGAGCTCAGATGAAGGCTCATTTTCCGACTCCAAGATCTGAGCTCTAGTCACTGCATACCTGTGACCGACGTGTCCAGAAACACCTCTGTGTCCTACCGCTCCTGTCCTTCACAGGACAGGGCAGCAGAGATGAAGAGCACTGAAGCACAAAAGCAGTAACGCTCCAAGATGAGATGACTTTGTAAGGACACTTGCCTGTCAGCGGTGGAAACACGTGCTCTGGGTCCGGCCGAGTCCCACCAGCGTGCATCTCAGTGCGATCACCACCTTTTGCAAAGGCAATGCGGCACTCGTGTTTGAAAACCTCAGCGTATTTTCTTGTAGTCGGCAGGCTGGGCTTTAGCTCGTTGTAAAAAGCTTGTGATCTTTGTGAGTCACACCCTTCTGGGGCATACAGATAAGCTATTCTTTAAAAACAAGGAAGGAAAACAGACTAACAAAAGAAAAAAAACCCCATGTGAACACAACAGATAACAATAAGGGCAGATATGAATCAGCCTCAGGAAAGAGGAGCTTTGGGAAAAAAAACCTTGACTCCTAGTTACACGCTCCAGGTAGCTCACTGCCTAGCTGGAAACCAGGCCCCGGGTTATTAGACATAGCCCATAAAAGCTGGGTACGAGGCTTCCCCCTTTCAGTGCCTTGTTTGCCTCTTTTTCCTCCTCTTTTTTTTTTTTTTAATGCTGAGATACCCATGTAATCAGCACTCTTAGACAAATTCCAGGTCTTTTTCCTTGCTCCTTGGGTTTACATATTGGTACTTAATTTAGCTTATTGTGTAGGAATGCTGAAAATACACCTCTTTCCAAGCCTCTTCTAGTGTCTAGACAATAAATCACACTGTCCCTTCATCTCCTTATTTTGCCAACCCAGGAGCAACACATACAAGTCAAGCCAACTCCCGTTTTCTACACAGAACTGCCCCTACCACAGCCAGTATTTAAATCAAAACTGGGGCCCCCAACGATGTATCCGGCTCCATCTAACGAAGAGCAACACATCTCTCCCTGCCGACATACCGATTTCCCTCTCAAACAGCCAAGCACACAGAGCAGTGGTTCACCGTGCAGAAATCCCAGCATTAATGAGTCTGTTATTTAAAACTCTGAACTCATTTTTTTTTTTTAAATACGACCCTAGTGCTACATTCAACTGAGCAAAGTCTCCAAGATCTAAAGGCACAAGTAGCGGTGCCTTGGTTTCCTTTATGCAGAAGATCACTCTCACTGGTAGAAATACGCATTCATGCTTTAAAACCCCACTGACGCCAACGTACAATAAAAATAAGGCTGACTAGAAAATGAGGAAAAAATTAATTTGCACTGATAGAGAAACCCACCCACATCACTTCCAAGTAAGTAACAACAACTGTTGGGAGGGAGACAAAAAAATCCAGCCTTCGGACAATTGCAGGAAGAGAGCGAAGAGAAGAGCGCAAGTGCTCAAAACATTGAAACGCTCTAGATGAGCTCTGAACAACACAATTTTACTAAAACGTGGAAAAGGAAACGACGCATCAGCTCTTTGCTACAGGGCAGGGGCAAGCAGTCATCTGCCTTCCTGCACGTGAGGAAAAAGGGAAAACACTGAAACTAAGAAAGGTCACCGGGGCTCGGTTTGTAGCCGAGCTGCATTTCAGGGTCCCTGTTCTGGTAGGAGACAATGGTGCTGGGCACGGCAGAGACGCCTGGCACGGCCACGGCGGCAGCGTGCTGAAGCAAGGCACCACCCCTGCGGTACCGCCTTAGGGTCAGGCAAACGAGCAGAGACCCGTAAGAGTCAAAGCGGGTAAATACGAGTGAACGTAAACACGGTGGCGGGGGAAAGCAATCCTCACCCTGCACGCGCAGCGGTGGGACCGCGGTGGGTGAAAGCGGCAGCTTCGTGGCCAGCAGCAGCCCGAAACAACGGTATTACTAAGGGAGGAATAGGGAAGGAAACAGAAAATATTGTACGGCAACATATAAATCCACAGCGCATCTGTATGTTGAGTAGTATGTGCTGTTCTAGCCGGCCTTTAATAAAATGGATGCGGAGATTTAGGGAGAAAGCAGGAGGAGGAAGAGACGAGTAATGAAAGAAGCCACTTCAGTGAGAGACGCAAGCAGACGAGGACCTTCGGCCTAGAGAAGGAACCGTGGCAGACTATGCTGTAGATCTACAAGGTTATGAATTGCATCAGGAGGGTAAAAGGGCAGTCATAGGCTAAAGTACCCTCCAAAAAAGCAGCCGGGGGATAAACTGCAGCTAGCAACACCCATTTCCAAACAAGCGAGGAAACACTTCTCCCCACAGTGTGTTGTTAAGCCGGCCACAAGGCAACGTGACATCACAAGTTTTTAGGGATTCAGAAGGTGACTTGAGTACACGGATTTACCAGACTGCTAGGGGCTGGGTGATGAGTTCAGGGATGCAGAGCACGTGCATTTTCACAACCGCCGAGCTACCTGAACCAGCCACCCCCTCGCCTGCCAGCGCTCGTTCCACCATGCCTCCCCTCCCATGAGCAGGCTCACCCCACCTGCACGCTTGCCCCGTGCACTACGCTCGCTCCCTGGATGATGACCCCCTTGGGCTGCTCCTACACGGCAGCCCCGGTACCTGCCCTCTGTTTCCCCTTCTCCCACGGAGCAGAGGACCCGGTCGCTCCTCCACCAGTAAACCATTTATCTTCACGAGCGCCAAGAGGGAGCGAGCGCAGGTTGGTGCTGCTTTCCTTGCACAGTCCCATCGATCACTACAGGCTCACGCAGCTCTCGGCCCCCATCCCCACTCGAATCGCATCAGCCCGGCTGTTTAAAATCCCGTGGGGGCAGCAGCACTGTAGTGATGTAGATAAAGTACCAGTAACGTGAACTCTCTCAGAGGAGCTGTACAGAGCAAGGGCTGGTGAGCCAGGAGGAGTGGGGGTTAGGAAACGATGCAGACACCACATCTCCCTCCAGCTCCTACTGTAGCCAGTGGGAGCCAAACTGGTTTCCAGATGGGCAGGCGCCTCCCACGGAGACTCCGGAAGGTGACCAGCGTCTCTCCTGTGCAGAGCTGGGATCTGATGTAGCTGCCATCCATTTCAAGCGTCACCAGGTTTTACAACAGCCAAGAAACTGAGCCTAGGCACAAAAAGGGCCAAATCCTGAACCCTGCCACCACGCCGTGTTTCCTCGGTGAGCGGCGCGCTTGCTGGGGTGGGATGGGCTCTATCACAGGATGGGCACCTGTGAGCTCTATCTGATGGAGCTGCCTGGAGAGCAGTTTTAGGCCTGGTTCTTGGACCCGTAAGCTCTCCGGCAGCTCCAGGTCAGGGGCACCCACCACTCCTACCACGAGGAGCATGAGATGAACTGAACATCAGCCTTGCCTGAACCCCTCCTTCGGAGGGCAGCCCCACCATCCTGGCTAAGCACTGTCCAGTAGAGAAGCGCCCTGCTCCTCTTCCACTTTTCTTTGGCATCTAAACGTCCACGGGGAAGGGTTCAACCCAGGCTCCCCAACCTCGGACAAGGGTATTCTCATGCCCTCACTTTTGTCTCCAGCCTACTGCCCCCCTAAACCTCGGGGTAAAGCTAGGATGCCATGACCATCCTAGCTGCAGCCTGGTGAGTTTAGACCTCCTCATCCACTGCTTTTCTCAGAGGCACCAAGAAGTTCTCGGGTTGGAAAGGGATGACTGCCACCAGAGCGAAGTGCTGGCTTTTGCTGGATCTTGGAAGAAAAGGGAAGTGCTGGTTTCACTCCGATCCCCGAATGCAATGAGTCCTTGCCTTCCTCTCTGCTTCCCCTTCCCCCAGCTTTCCAGTCTGGCTGCCAAACGGAAAAGCACATTATTCATAGTGACCTACTGAATACGCCAAGAAAGATTTCCTTAAGAGATTAGAAAAATAGCAGTTCAATCTTATGTGGAAAGTCACTCTGCTGAGGGGAGGAGGAGGGGAAATATTCTGATATGGTACTCAAAAAAATATACCAGAGCACCATTCCCACCTGATAGTGACTGGCCACACAGCAGAACGTACAGCAGGCTGCTGGGGCAGTCCAGCTTTGTGTAAGAGCACCTGAAATACGAATATTTGTATCTACCACCAATATACACACGAGAGTAAGCCCCGCCTAAAATAAAGTCCAAACACAAACAACTAACAAACGCTTTATTGTGCGAAGCCTCAGAGAATATTACCTGCTATGTGTTTAAAATCTTACGGTGGAAAGGCATGGCAAAATAATTAAAAATTCCTTTTCATGATGAATTCTTAAGATGTGCTTAGTCCTCCGCCGTGCTCGGAGCCCTTCGCTCCAGCTGACACCAGCAAGACTGATGATGCATCACAGGATTTAATAAGTTCATAGTAACATCTGTAAGGAAGTTACTTTAGAAGGATTTAGGCTTTGTATACTAGCACATAATTAACTTCAGAGAGACTGGGTGTGAATTACCTAGGCATCTCGGGAGCAGGCCTCATTAAATCCACACAATGTCTTGGGCTTACTAACTTTTTTAAAAGACTTTTTTTTTTTGTGTTATGCCAATCTCAAGCTCGTCCTGTAACAAGGACAAAAATACTAAATTAACCTGCTAGACGAAAATTATCTACAGCATAGACAGCCCTGAGACGAAAATCAGGATTAAGGTCTTACTTGAATACAAAAAACTTTTCAAAGAGTTTGTCTCTTGCTCCAAACCTTGTGACTCCAACTCATCATCACTTCGGAGGAAAGTAAAACCCCAATGATGAAAAGAGGGAAAAAAAAAAAATCATCTAACCTGTTGCATTTATTTAAGTAGACTTCTCTCCCGAATAGTTCTTGCTTCCTCTTTTTAACCAGCTAACAAAGAGTAGGAATGCAGCAGACACAGAAAATACAGAGAGCTCCGCCACACACAGCAAATCAGGATCCAAGCACATACACACACAAAACAAAAAAAGAAGGGAAAAAAGAAGAAAAAAAAAGAAAAAAATACGGTTAGAAAGAGGAGAAGGAGGGGGAAGCTCGCTGCAGGCTGCAGCCTGTCTTACCTCGCAGAGCTACCAGGAGGGCTGACCCTCGGCTGCTGCTGGGAGTCGCAGCTCCGACCTGGCAGCA